ATATATGCTCTTTTGGACCTTCTAATTATCAGAGTATCCTGAAAATAAAATATTTTGAAAATATATTAAAATAGAAAACTTTTAATAATTTTTTAATTGTAATAATATTTCACAATATTACTGTTTTTACTGTATTTTTGATCAAATAAATGGCACCTTAGTGAGCATGAGCGACGTCTTTTAAAAACATAAAAAATCATACTGATGCATTAAACAATCATGTAGTTGTGTCTCTCGGAGTATGTAAGCATTCAATCTTTTTATATTCACCTTCTAACAATGGTAAATTATTTATAAAACTTGATTGTTGTACTGTATCTGTATTTCTGCATTGATAGTCTTATATCTGCCATGAATTAAAGTATGATACAACTGGCTCATTCTTCCATAATAGCTATTTCTCTCACTTTGTTTTGTCCTGTCAGTATAACTTGATTTGCTCATAACATTTACTCATTGCTCATTATATGGCATTATTTTTTTCTTTCCAAGGACCTGTTAAACTACTCTACTTCATTTTCAAATATTATGCTCAATCTTTTGGCTTTAGTTAAGCTAAAATAGGAGAACAGGTCTGGAATAACTGGCTAGTTTCTATTCCGCTTTAGCAAACAAACTTTCAAGACAAACTATGTCTTGAAAGTGCATAAACACATCAACCTGCAGGTATTCAGAGGATCCCTAAAGAACTTAAAAGCTTAAGCTCTTTTGGGATGTTTACCTCATAAGTTCCTGCTGTGATATTTGACATGTCTGTATTGTGGATCCTGCAGCCGCTTCAGCCTCACGTCAGAGTTTGGGACTCCGTCAGTCTGTCCACGCTGCAGATCATCGGCCTCGGCACCTTTGAGAGAGGAGTTGGATCCCTCGCTTTCTCTAAAGCCGTGAGTCTAACATCAGCTATCTAATTTGAATTGATTTCATTGTTTAATTAGCATTGCCTAACAGCTATTTTGATAATTGATAAGCCTGGCATTTTTTTTTTTTTTTTCTAAATTATTCTAATATTTTTCACAGTCTTGCACTGCGCTCTTCCTGGATCTGGGTCATGTTTGCATTTTTTTATTTTTTTCCCAACTGCCAATAATGCTAACCTTGAAATCAGGATATGCCATAAAATAATATCATGTCTGTGCAAATCGACTGAGAATTGAACAATATTTGTAATTTGTCTCAGAGGAAGATAGGAATTTTGTTGCCTTTGTGACAGTTTTTCTGGTGACTACTGGATAATACAAGACTTCTTCACCTTACAAATGGTGGAAAACCTCAAGTTTTTATGAACCTGGTTGTTTCAACATCAAACACTGCACTCTTTGGTCATTTTCAGTGACTCTATTTGGATGAAGTGCAAATATATAAACAGCTCTTTTATGGGGAGACTGAAGAAACCGAAAGTTTTGTGATTGTTTGTTTGTAAACAGTAATTTAATCTAAAATATTAGAGTATGGATTTGTGATGCTCTCACTGTGTGTGTGTGTGTGTGTGTGTGTGTTTGTGTGTGTAGGACTCAGGCATTCATCTCAGTGTGATTGATGACTCTAATGAGCACATGCTCACTGTGTGGGACTGGCAGAAGAAATCAAAAATCGCTGAGATTAAGGTACGTGGACACTTCTTTGATTCATTTGGTTCTCGTCTCACATATCACCACTCCCTTCCTCTTTTACCATCTCCCTTCCTTTGTTCCTTTCTTTTAGATTTCTTAGCCCTTATCTTGTTTCCTCCTTCTCCTTTTTCTCAGCCTTTTTCATCTCGGTTGAGATGGCTTCCTTCTCGTCCTTTTATGTTTTGCCATGTCTGTTCCATTTGTACCCGGTTTCCCTGCACATTCCTCTTTTGCTTCTTCTCATCTCTTTGTTCTTCATGTAATGATTTTGCCAATATACTGTTTTATCAGACAACCAATGAAGTGGTCTTAGCGGTGGAGTTTCACCCGACTGACGCCAACACCATTGTCACATGTGGGAAATCCCATATCTTCTTCTGGACCTGGAGTGGTTCCTCACTCACCCGCAAACAAGGCATCTTTGGCGTAAGGACATCCATGCTTATATTTCTCATTGGGGAATTTAAAAAGAAAATAGTTCACCCAAAAATAAAAATTTGCTGAATATGTACTCACCCTTAGGCCATAAAAGATGTAGATGAATTATTTTATCATCAACATTTTCAAGAAATTTAGCATTACATCACTTGCTCACCAATGGATCCTCTGAAGTGAATGGGTGCCGTCAGAATTGAGTCCAAACAGCTGATAAAAACATCACAATAATTCACTCGTAATCCTACTATGGTCCATCAGTTAGCATCTTATGAAAAACTGCCTGTTTTTAAGAAACAAATCCATCATTAAGGCACTTTAACTTTAAACTGTCGATTCTGGCCAAAATCTCAATCCATAATAATGCTTGAAAAAAGTCCATCCCTTATTGTCCTCTCACATCACGACTTTTTCACTGGAGAAAACGATATTATGGAGATAAGGCTTGTATTTTATACAGAAGGAACAGTTTGAAGTTAAACTTATCTTAATAATGGATTTCTAGTGGATTATTGTGATTTTCATTTTTTGGATGAACTATTCTTTAATGAGCTTTTTATTTGACAGTCGAGTTTCACAAAGACTGCATCATTCGACTAGTTTCAAGATCCCTCTTTGTCTTGCAACTCATTAGTATGAGTGTTCAGATAGATGATAATCTACAGTTTCAAAAACAGCATATCAGTTTGAAATAAACGAATCGATTCAGAACTCTGATTCATTGATTATTTAGCATAATTACTCAGAAGAGTCCATGGAAGACTCCATGTTGCATTTTTTTTTTTAATTGAAATGTTTTAGTTAAAATATATGTACTGCAGGTAAATATTTTATTTTGTTTTACTATATACTTTATATTGTTTGATATATTTGAGCTCATTTAGTGAATATCAATGTGAAAAAACATACCATAATTATTTTAACTAGATTTTTACGGATTGGGGGAAAAAAATCGCCGTGTCAGACCATTTCAGAGAAAATACAGTAAATATTGAGTCGTGTATGAAATAGTCAAAAGGTAAAAAAAAATCAAGATAAATTTTATTTAAGCAACATTTCCCAGCCCAAGAAACATTTCTTGACTAATACTGCAGTCAGCTTGATGTACAAAGCACAGACTAGTACATAGTACATGGAGTTTATAAAACCTGACTTCACATTTAATACTTTTGTTTGTGTGTCTTTGACAGAAATATGAGAAACCCAAATTTGTACAGTGTTTGGCTTTTCTCAATAATGGAGACATCCTGACCGGAGACTCAGGAGGAATCATGCTGATATGGACCCGCAGCACCGCTGAACCAGCACCGGGGAAAGGGCCGAAAGGTAGACGCTTGTCACACACACACACACACACACACCAGACACACACACACCAGGCACACACACACACACACACACACACACAGGCACAGACATTATTAGCACTGCCAACATACTAAAACACATACTTCACATTAACATTCTCCTCATTTCCTTACAAAAAGTACTTTGGTCGCAAGTTATAGTATCCTCTACCAAATGCAGTATGATCCGCTGCTATGCAGCACGCTCTGAAACCAAAGAGACTAGAGAAGTTCCCGCTCACCATAAAAGAAAGTAAAGGAAGTAGAATGAGGCCAGATGCATGTAGGGTCAATGCATAGCCACATTATGTTCTACCAAAAGACACATGTCATATTAACAGTAGCAGACAAGTTACTGCACAGGTCAGGAAAGGCTGTAGGATTTACAACTCTGACGACACACTGCTATAGGAAATCTTTGTTTATTTCTTATGTCATGACTGTGAAAATTACATGAAAAGCTCCGTTTATGATTGCCATTCCATAGTTTGTTTTACTTCAGTAGTAAAATACACTCAGTTAAAAAAAGGGATTTATTACACTATGGTAAATGCAACATATAAAACCTCGCTGACCCTCACATTTGACCTACTATGGCCCATGTGTGCTCAAGTTTATGTAAAATAATCATTTCTTTGCAACAAGTCTCTTATGCTCACCAAGGCTGCATTTATTTGATCAGAAATACAGTAAAACAGTATTATTGTGAAATAGTATTACAGTTAACCGTTCTGTTTAAATGTATTTTAGAATGTAATTTATTCCTGTGATGCAAAGCTGAATTTTCAGCATCATTACTCCAGTCTTCAGTGTCACATGATCCTTCAGAAATCATTCTAATATGCTGTTTAGCTGCTCAAGAAACATTTCTTATATTATCAGTGTTGAAAACAGTTGTGGTATTAGAAAAGATGTTAGTATCATGGCACTTTAAGGTACCTTATTAACGTTTTGTTTCGTCAACACTATAATGTTAATGAGGCCAGCATTCATTTCAGGAAAACAGTGACGGAAACAGAAACTTCTAGAAACCTGTGGCAGAGAGTAGCTTTCAAGAAGACTTTCAATGGAAGTGCACAGCTCGTGAAATGTGATGTGACTGAAACTGTTTGCATGCACACATGCTAGTGTCTGTGTGCACAAGTTGACAGATTGTTTTCTCTGTGTTGATCCTGGAGTTGTAATGGTTTTCACTGGCATGCTGTGGAACTGGATTGGCTGCACCACATGCCGAAACTCTGCCAACTCCTGCTCGTTTATCACACTCCTTTATTTACCCTCTCAATCTGTACAGTGCAGTCCTGTGACACAGCGCCCCCTAAAGGACGCAAACTACTACTACTACTCCCAATCACAGAGCCCAATCGAGCACTTGTAGTAGTTTTACTTGATACTTTGAAATGAAATTCTTCATTAATCTATAAAATCTGTAACTTTCAAAACTCAAACTCTTTCCTGAGTCCAAAGAAGTGCATTTATGGAAGTTCAGCTGCCTGTAGCTCATCTCAAACTTCTACATAAACAAATTAATACATAAGCACGACTGCCTATATTTATATATCAGTGACACCTGATCCAGAAGCTTGGCCCAGTGTTATTGCATTACCATTCAAAAGTTTAGGGTCAGTAAGATTTGTTATGTTGAATGAAATTAATACTTATATTCTGCAAGGATGCATTAAATTGATCAAAATTAACAGTAAAGACTTTTGATTAGGGCTGTTCATTTCGGTTATTTTTTCTAACCGACAACCGACGCTCGTTAACCGATTGTTAAACGTTAACTGACAAGATTATTTGCAGCGCTTCTGCGAGCGGAGAAAAACATAATAAAGCAAGGCTATATATATATATATATATATATATATATATAAATAACGAATAAATAGGCCTATACGAGAAACATATTTTTACTTAAATAATAAATTAAGAAAATGAAAGAAAAACTGTGCAACAAGTAGCCTAGTATGAAGAGTTTCGGTTAATTTTTGTGCTGCGCGAAAGGAAACAGACGGCATCCTATTTTTCTTTAGGTTTATTTTACAAAAGCACAAAGATTTGTTTTTATTGTGAATGTACACAAATAAAGGCAAACCTTTTACAATTCTGATTATCTTTGACTAAAAGGAGTAGTTGCTTCCACTGTTAGAAGGAAACAATTCAAGTGATTGCACTGGTGCCGCATACGCGCACACAGTTAAGCATTGCTACCTTGACAATGCAGCCTGTTCATTATCATAATAAAATACAGTCAGTCAAACATATGGAAAAAAAAACTATGTAGTAAAAAAAATATGTAGCCTAGGCCTAGTAAAAAATATGTAGTAAAATCTGTGCTGTTAAGTGTTATCACAGTACCGCCGTGATGTTATGCAAAACATTTTGTTTTACGTGGATATTGGAACGCAAGTGAAGTACATAATAAATAATAATATTCCATTCAAATACATTGTGAATACGGAAACATTTGATTTTGTGTGGAATGAGAGACCCAACTTTGATTTCAGTTTCGTTTTAGCCTAAATTAATTCGTTTTGGCTTGTCGTTTATATTGCTATAGCTTCTTATATTTTTAATTCTTGTTCTTTTCTAAATACTGTTAATTGAAAGGATTTGTTGTGGAGTGAGGAGAACTAAAATAGCCTAGCTATGTTTACAGTGTTTATTATAATAAATTTCGCATCGGTATTAGGCATTTCTGAATGAAATTTTTTTTATACGTGTAGCGTATTTTAACCATGCAGCAAACCTTTTTAAATATTTTGATAAATTACTGAAAAAATAAATTAAATTACTTTTTAAACCATTTAACTGATTGTATTAATCGGTCAAAATTCTTACGGTCGGTTAAACGGTTCAAATGAACATCCCTACTTTTGATGTTACAAAAGGTTTCTATTTCAAATAAACTTCCTATTCATCAAAGAATCCTGGAAGTATCACAGTTTCCACAAAAAAGTAAGCATCACAACTGTTTTTAACACAGATAATAATCAGAAATATGTCTTGAGAAACAAATTGGCATATTAAAATGATTTCTGAACGATCATGTGACACTGAAGACTGCAGTAATGATGCTGAAAATTCATTTACAATGAATACATTTTTAAATATATTACAATATAATAGTTTTTTTTTAATTGTAATATTTCACACCTTTAACTGTGTTTTTGATCAAAGAAGTTGATTGATGAGCATAAGAGACTTATGAATTACATTCTGACTTTTTCCAGATAGCAATGGCATTTAAAATCGAACTTGCATAGCTAGATGTGTCTGTTCTTGTATGCTTTGTGGATTAGTATTTTGTTAAATGAGTTGTAAAATAGAGTGACATCGTGCAAAAACAACAGACAGATAAGTGCACACTTTATGAAAATTAATTCCTGCTTAAGCCGCGTAACATCCTCCTGTTATGAAGCCTCACATGTGCTTCGCCGGCTGCTGCTTCATTTCGTCTTTCCCTCTTAAGTCATTTGGCATATGTCATGTCCTGAACTGGCCTCGTCTAGCTGATTTCCTGTCTCTGCGTCTGTACGCTTGCAGATACCATGTAACTGTAGAAGTGCGGTAGTGCAGGTGTGTTATAGTGTGTCTGTTCAGAAACGCACAGTGTGTGTGTGGAGTTATGTGTGTATTGACGGGGCTGGATCAGCACTCCAGGGGTCTATATTTCCCTTGGTTTGGCTCTTTGCGCAGACAGCCGAGCCGTCGGTATTATTACAGGGAGAAGTGATAATCTACTGGAATTCCCAGAATGCAACATCATCACACACACACGCACCCCTGGCCTCACTGGCAAGCATATCTATGAGCTTCTCTTTCACTAGCTTTTCTAAAAGCCCCATCACATCCCCAATGGCAAAACAGTCTGGCACTTAAACCGCATTAGCCAGGAGATATATTTGTGGTATTCTGTTCCCAGAAATGGTGTGCGAGTGGGTCTCCATCTGTCTTACTAACCTGTCCCGTCCCCATAGGAGCGTTTCAGATCACGCGTCAGATCAAGGCTCACGACGGCAGTGTCTTCACTCTGTGTCAGATGAGGAACGGCACTCTGCTCACAGGGGGCGGCAAAGACCACAAGATCATTCTGTGGGACCACGACCTGAATCCAGAGAGAGACATCGAGGTGAGAGACAAAGCTGAGCAACGCTCACACTCTCACATACATGTTTTTAAAGAGATACATATCTGGTATACATTACAAGTAAAAGTTTGGAATAATTACATTATTTTAATGTTTTTAAAAAGGCTTTTCTGTAACACTTTACTTAAAGCCTTTATGTATAATGCATTACAAAAGTAGTTTTAATGCATTAATTATGCCTTGTAATGCACCTTATAATGCAGTGTACAATCTCATGAATAACTGTATCCACAATTAATACACTGTAACATTTAACAATTCTTTGTTACACTATGCATTTTAAATTTGGTTATAATTATGTAATGTATTGCAGTGCACATTATGAATAATTATTATGCATTATACCCTTTAATAACTCTATATAATGCATTATACATAAAGGCTTTAAGTAAAGTGTTACCAAAGTTCCTTATGCACACTGCGTTCATTTGATCAAAAATACAGTAAAAACAGAAATATTGTATAAATATAATTAATAAATATTCCTAGCGACCCCAAACTTTTCAACAGTTGTATGTATGATACTAATTAATAGTAATTGCATAGTAAATTAGTTACACTTTATTTTGTGGAGACATTGTTACAGTGTAATTGGGTCAAAGACATAATGAGGTTTTCAAGCATCAAAGCAATAAAAGTTTAATACAGCTTTACTTTTTTCTTTTCTTTTCTGAACATTAGAATGTGTCCCATTTAATTTTATTAACAATAGTTCATATACTGTACCAACAAATCGTGTCAGTCATATTTATTACAAGAATCATTAGATGACATAAAAAAAATTAGCTTAATGTTAAACAACTACATATACTGTCTTTAGGGTTAGGGTTAGTTACTTGTAATTATGCATAATTTACTGTTACGCTAGTACATGTAACATGTAACTATGTCACCCTAACATAAAGTGTTACCAGAAATCATAGCATATAATATGAGAAACATCACAAGCTCTTATAACAAGATAAGAAAACAGCATATCTATCATGTGTGATTGGTTTTCTTCAGGTCCCAGATCAGTATGGCACTATTCGTGCAGTAGCTGAGGGTAAGGGCGAGCAGTTTCTGGTGGGCACTTCACGCAACTTCATTCTGAGAGGCACCTTCAATGATGGATTTCAGGTGGAAGTGCAGGTAAACCAGATCTTTTATCTCTTGTGCAGCCTTATACTCTTAAAAATAAAGGTTTCAAAAGGGGGTTTTGCAGTGATGCCATGGAAGAACAATTTCTGTTTCCCCAAAGAAGCTTTCAATGAACAATTCTTAAAAGAACCTTAGGCCCTGTTTACACTAGTGTGTTTTCGTTTTAAAATGAAAACGATCCTCGTCTACACTGGCGTTTTCACTGCGTTTCAGAATCGATCTCCATCCACACTACACAACCGAAAACGCATGTCACGTGACCATTCATGCAGGTACAAATACAGAGTTCTGGCATGAAACTCTAGATGGCGCAGCCTGATAGGTCTAACTCAATCTCACCTAATGACATCATTATCACATGGCTCAGCTGATTGGTTCTCTCCTGTATCAGTAGCCAATGAGCTCGCTGCTCAACATTCAAATACATGACTAGTGCTTGCCGTAGCAGTGCAGCTTGCTTCAGAAACCCCTCCACCTTCCCCAGCTCCACCTGTATAGATCTGCTATGAGGTGATTCATGTATGCTATATGGGGGTTATTTCATGTATGTTATATTTGCAGCAGCAATATTTCTTATATGCTCACAGCAGCATGTTGTGTATGTATTGGCAGTAGCAAGTCTCGGTACTTGCTCTGCCGCAGCAGCAGCGTAGCAGATCTATTCCACCAAGACCAAATACATTAACATTGTATCGCCATCGTTTTCAAAAGTCTCTGTTTTGCTCCGTTTACACTGAAACGCAACCCCGGAGTTTTCAAACTAAAACGGGATCTGCAGCGTTTTCAAAAGTCTGTTTTCGAGGGTCGAAAACGCTGGAGTAGTGTAAATGACAGGTGTAGCCGTAGCAAAAGTTATACATTTTAAAATGGAAAAAGATGCAATCCCGCACACTATCAATACTTGCTAAATATTGAAGTTTATTGTCACAAGCACAAGCAATGTTTCAGTCCACTGACTTTCATCAGGCATATGCTTTTTATATTTTTGATTCGACAGTGTTGTTGGACTATTTTTCCTATGCACCAATCGTTAAAACCAAAAGTTTTAAAATGAAAACGTACTAGTGTAAACGTAGCCTTAGTGTGGTTATTTTAATGATCTGAAGAACCTTTTTCTATTATAAAGAACCTTCTGTGGAATGAAAGGATTCCATGGGTGTTAAAGATTCTCCATGGAATGCCATCAAGAACCTTTTATTTTTAAGAGTGTCGTGAAGATTAATAAGCTTTTTTTCCCCCACAATTCTCAATAATCCCAATAATCTTAATCTCTCAAATACATAGGGTGAATGCTTATCAAACATGCACTTGTACCTGCAGTCACAGTTATAGAGTTAGTTTCATGGGACTCTCTATTTTTAGGGACACACGGATGAGCTGTGGGGTCTGGCCGCCCACCCGTTCAAGGAGCTGTTCCTCACCTGTGCTCAGGACAGACAGGTGTGTCTGTGGAACTCAGTGGACCACACGCTGGAATGGGCCAGACTGCTGGACGTAAGACTCCAACAAACACACATTTGCACGAATACAGTGCTGTGAAAACGTTTTTGCCCCCTTCCTGTTTTTTTTTTTTTTTTGCATATTTGTCACACTTAAAAGATTCAGATCATCAAACAAATTTTAATATTACACAAAGATAACCCAAGTAAATACAAAATGCAGTTTTGAAATAATTATTTCAATTATTAAGGGAAAAACGCTGTCCAAACATGCCTGACCCTGCGTGAAAAAATAATTGCTGCCTAAACATAATAACTGGTTGGGCCACCCTTTGCAGCAACAACTGCAATCAGGCATTTGCGATAACTGGCAATGAGTCTCTCACATTGCTGTGGATGAATTTTGGCCCACTCTTCTTTGCAGAATTGTTTTAATTCAGCCACATTGGAGGGTTTTCGAGCATGAATGGACTTTTTAAGGTCATGCCACAGCATCTCAATCGGATTTAAGTCCAGACTTTGACTTGGCCACTCCAAAACCTTCATTTTGTTTTTGCTGGTGTGTTTGGGATCATTGTCCTGCTGCATAACTCAAGTGTGCTTGAGCTTGAGGTCACAAACTGACGGCCAGATATTCTCCTTCAGGATTTTCCGATAGAGTGCAGAATTCATGGTTCCATCAATTATGGCAAGTCATCCAGGTCCTGGAGCTGCAAAGCAGCCCCAGACCATCACACTACCACCACCATGTTTGACTGTTGGTATGATGTTCTTTTTATGAAATGCTGTGTTGGTTTACGCCAGATGTAACGGGACACACACCTTCCAAAAAGTTCAACTTTTGTCTCATCAGTCCACAGAATATTTGCCCAAAAGTCTTGGGGCTAATCAAGATATTTTTTGGCAAATGTGAGACAAGCCTTTGTGTTCTTTTTGGTCAGCAGTGGCTTTTGCCTTGGAACTCTTGTTGAGTCATGAACACTGACCTTTAGATGAGTTCTTAAGATGTTGTTCTGGGTTCTTTTATGACCTCCTGGATGAGTCATCGTTGAGCTCTTGGAGTAATTTTGGTCGGCTGGCCACTCCTGGGAAGGTTCACCACTGTCCAAGTTTTCTCCATTTGTGGATAATGGCTCTGACCGTGGTTCCAAATTTACAAAGCTCAAAGTCCACTTCAAAAGGAGATATTTTATTTAACAGAAATCACTTTTCAAAAATTACAACGAATGACTCGTTTGGACTACAAGGTAGAGACCTGCACTCCCGCGGGAGTACAGCGGGACCCAACGTAACAGGGTGCGGCACGGGACATATTTCAGAAGGCGGGCCTTCATTTGATACAGGGACTATTCGAGCCGTTCATGCCAGACTGAGGAGAGAGGTGTTGTAATAATGTAAAATATGTGAAAAATAATGTTTTTCGAACAACCTAGTATGAGAGTCTGTTCTAGTGCACCCCCAAAACAAAATCAAGACTTTGTAAAAGAGCATAATAGGACCCCTTTAAAAAACAGGAAACCTTTTCACGGCACTGTATGACTGTCAGTGGCCTGTAAAATATTGCAAATATTAATAATGACAATAATAATAAGCACAATACGCTAACCTTTCACCAGGTAATATAGTTAATCGGCTTCGTTAAAGGTGGCCTTAAAGGGCATAACCACTAAACGTTTCATTTTTGTAACTATCAAAACAATCCAGGGCTACAGTTCTCTGTTCTGTACTTAATTTCACTGGTTACTGGCATAAATTATGGCCCAGTGCTTTGTTCTTTTAAAAAACCAAAGACAGCTTGTTTGTTGATTTTGTGAAAACTTTCTATTCATCTAGATGTAATCCGTACTGAATATTTCTCAGAAAACAAAGTGGAATAAAGAGATGTTGGGGAATCTGTTGGCAAACTTTATGACACGTGCCATGACATTAGTGGTTCTTGCAAAACCTTTTTATTAAGACATCAGTAAAAAGTCAGTTTGCCCAGTTTGGCAAATACATATTTTTTTTCACAGAATCATTTATTGTAACAGTGGTTACTGTTTTTGGACAGTGTGTCTCTGAGCTAAGACTATGGTTTGTAGGACCTTGAAAGATTGAAAGATACACCGAATAACCACTAAATACCCCTTGTCATCTTAACTGTAGGTTGTTTACATTTGTATTGATGCAGTAATACAGTATTTAGTTGATGTATGTATATCAGGTTTAATTTTTTTTTTGTGACCTCATCCACACATTTAGAGCAGTGCTTCTCAACCAGGGGGCCGGGACCCACTACGGGGCCTCAGCACATTTCCAAGAGGGCCATAAAATGGCTTAAGATTATTAAAAAACTGCTTGCTTGTTTTTTCTCTCTCTCTCTCTCTCTCTCTCTCTCTCTCTCTCTCTCTCTCTCTCTCTCTCTCTCTGTATAAACAACTGAATTTAAGAACCAAGGTTCCCAAAGACTTGGAAAACCTGGATACTGTATGTGAGGGTAGTTTGATGATTTTTTTTTTTAAACCCGGAAAAGTCATGGAAATTTCAATAATACATTTAAATTTTTGTAATTAAAGTTCTAAAATGTTTATCAGGTAGAAAAAAAAAAAAAAAAAAAAGTAAAGTCTGGAAACGTCATGCAAATGCATTGGTTTTTTGAAATGCATTCAGTTCTTGAAACACTTTAAATGATAGATTTTTTAATAATTTATTTTAATGCATTGTCACATCTAATGTCTGTAAAAGTTTAAAAATAAGCACCTTTCATTTCAGCAGAAATATAGAAATTAGAGCATCTGCATTAGATCCAGAACTCTCAGTTTTGTAATAGAGTCCCGTGCGCTTTGAGTGTGACAGTACTAATGTGGTTGTGTGTTATTAGGAGCACGGGCATTGCGCAGATTTCCATCCTAGCGGTTCGGTTGTTGCCATTGGTACGCACTCAGGGAAGTAAGTGATCTCTATATCATCTCTATATCAGGTTTACATGAAAAACTCATTGAACATAAAAATGCTTTGGTGACTGTAGTTCAGAGATTGTTTTGTATGTGTCTCAGGTGGTATGCTCTGGACGCAGAGACGCGAGACCTGGTGGCCATTCACACAGACGGCAATGAGCAGCTGTCATTGATGCGCTACTCTATCGGTGAGTAGGAGTCTGGTTTGTTTGCATACTCTGTATTTTTTTTTTCTTGCATTTCTGTGCCGAGCAGACAACCAGACGTCTCTGTGTCTCTCCTCAGATGGCACGCTGCTGGCAGTGGGATCACATGATAACTTCATTTACCTCTACACGGTGTCGGATAAGGGACGCAAGTACAGCAGATATGGGAAATGCACTGTGAGTATCTGAAATGTTTGTGACTGTTTGCATAAAACAGCTCAGTGGATCTCAGGCGCATTGAACTCCCGAAGCTTTACTACTGTGCTTGTCCTGACACTGACTGATAGAAAATTTCCAAAAAAAAAGATTGAAGTTGAAAGTTTTACCTAAAACCTAAGGTCATTTTATTTATTGATTTATTTATTTATAGACATTTAAAAAAATATATTAGAAACAAAAAAGAATGCAAAGAATTTGAAACTAGAATTTGAAACATGCATTTAAAACGTATTCGTAATCGATCCATAAATAATGCCTTTTGGTTAATATTACAATTCACATACTTGTTTTATGGCTGTATTATTGTCTATTTTCACTATTCCCCTTTCTGCTGGATCCGAGGGTTCAGGGAGAGTGGAGAATAAAACTTTACCATGCGTGACCGTTTGCCCATGTCTGACCTGGGTCTCGTTTCGCTCGGCTGTACTCCATCAACACACTCTGAATCACACCACTGTTCTTCTAAATTTTTTTTTTTTTTAGGATTTTTCTGTGCAGTTTTTCAGTATTTGAGAAGTTTAATGTCATTAACATCTGTGTTCAATCATTGAGTCATTCTCTGAAACGGGTGCCTTACAGAGTACATTTGTGTAGATTTACAGTGGTGTGAAAAAGTGTTGGCCCCCTTCCTGATTTCTTATTTTTTTGCATGTTTGTCACACTTTAATGTTTCAGATCATCAAACAAATTTAAATATTACACAAAAATAATGCAAGTAAATACAAAATGCAGTTTTTAAATGATGATTTCATTTATTAAGGGAAAAAAGCTGTCCAAACCTACGTGGCCCTACGTGAAAAATTAATTGCCCCCTCCTGTTAAATCATGAAAGAACTGCAATTAACCACATTATTTTAGAAAGCCGAGTTAAATTTCACTAGCCACACCCAGGCCTGATTACTGCCAGACCTGTTGAATCAAGAAATCACTTAAATAGAACCTGTCTGACAAAGTGAAGCATGCTTAAATAGCAACACATTATGCCATCTTTTAAGTGTGACAAATATGCAAAAAATAAAAAAAACAGGAAGGGGGCCAACACTTTTTCACACCACTGTATACGTTCTGTCAGACAATAAAAAAAGTTCTGTCATGTACTAATATGTTGCTTTGTGAATGCTTTGATAGACTACATTTATAATCCATTTTGAATTCAAGTATTTTATCTTAAAAAACACTTAAAAAAACATTTCGGTGTTTAATGTTCTTCATTAAACATGATGGACAAACAAATGGTTCTCCTGTCATAGAACAACCCAATTATGAAATGACTATCAGAAATGAAATTATTTCCACATTGTTTTTGTGAGTGTCTGTCCTTCGACAAGTCATAAAGAGAGTGAAGAAACGCTGGTTGTGAAATGGCTGAAGATGTCAGTGTGATTTTAGTGGACAAAATGAAAGCGTGCCTCTCTTTCAGCACTCTTGACTGCCTGACACGTCTGAGCTTCCAGAGGGAATTCAGACATTGTGGGAGTGCTGGCCTGTGGTTTTATTGATGCTGGCAGACGAATCGCTCATGTGTCTGTCAGCGTAGCTGAACCATGTTACTCACAGACAGATGAGAGCAGATGAACACATACAGTGGCCACAAAACGTACTTGGACACGTAAGCAAAACTTAAAAAATATCAAACTGAGTGATTCATTGTAAAGAAAAAAGCACAAAAACACATTTTCAAGAAAATATCACAAAGACTACAAATCACCAAAACATCAGCTTATTAAAAGTATTTGAAAATGGCTAGTTACTGAGAAAAGCTCCAACAGCATTTGAGTGCAGATGACATGGTTTAATAGTTTATCGATGCAATTCATAAGAGATTCATACATTTTTACATGTGACTTAAATGTGCAAATGCTGTTGAGGTAAAAAATTCCAAGCAATGCACCGTTGAGCTATAAACCATTTGCATTACAGTGCAGCCTGGGAAAGTTTGCCTTTTACTGACCTCTTTCGACAGCCATAGAAAGGAAGTTCAGGATCTAGGATAGTGGAAACTGAAAGCACATGTCAATATGTATGAAAAGCTGGAAATGGAGAAACAGGTGATCTTTGTAATCTACAGGGGGGACTCTGTGTGCAGATGGCAAGCTTTCACAAACGCGAGACTCTTTAAAACACGTACACACACTCACATGTAAATGTCAGTGCACATATGGGAGGGAAGCCTGCGGACAAGTCAGAGCCTAGTCAGACAAACTGAGATTCCCTCCCTGGGCTGTAAGTCAGACGGTATTAGTTTTGTGTCTCTCTTTGCTCTGGGTGGAGACCCTCCAGCATTATTTATTGTGACCACTGAGTTCAGTCTTTGACGAAGCCTCTTTTTGTGCTATTCCATCCCTTTGATTAGTTGTCAGTGTCAGTGAGACGCTCAGGCTCTTGTTGACGCCGTCTCATTTGAAGAGGGTTTATTTGTGCTTTTAGATTAATTGATTTTTCAACTGAACTTTTGAACTCTTGTTGCTTTCATGTATCTAGGTTAAAGAGCTAGAGTACCTCGAAAATTAAATTGTTCTTATTTTCTCACTAATGTGTTGTTTCAAACCTGTAAGATTTCCTTTAATGGAAAACAAAGTTAGATATTTTGCAGAAAGTCCGATCAGCTGTTTTCCATACAAATGAACATTCACTCTTTAAAGTTCCAAAAAGGACAACAGAGCACCATTACAGTGTCATAGATGTAGTCCAAATGACTCACACACATCATTTCAAGTATTTGAAAATTATTTAATCATTTTGGGTGTGGAACAGCTTGCTAATTGCCCTTGTTCCATTCTTACATGGTGCTTCAGGATGTGGTGTTCATTTGTGTAAAAAAAAAAGTGCTCCTTAGTATATTAAAAAAAAAGAGTATTTTTTTTTTCTCAGAAATATACTTTAAAAGAATACTCAAAGTTAATGTAATGTTTTCAGACATTTAAATGTATCTCAGTTATTATTCTTATATTTTATATTGAATGCAGTTAGCTGGACTTTAGAGTTCAAGTACATTATTGTATGTAATTTCATATGTATTACTTGTATTGTCAATGAAATAGGGTTAAAGTGTACTGCCAAATGCATTTTTGGTAACCTAACAAACTTTAATGTGATTTCTGTTGACATTTTTATGTATTTGAATATATTTGCAATTATACATTTGTAATGATGAAATTACCATTTAGTACAACATCAAATAATTATAATCAAGTACTTAACATGTGCTTTAATTATGTTAGTCAACACATCAAAATAAGTGTACGTCTTTAAAGCACAACAAAATGTTTTTAGTCAAATGTCATGATTTAATCATTTAAAGAAAAACTCTTTAATATTTTAAGATGTACACTTAAATAGCCTTTTATTTCATTAATATTATATTATTGGCAAGTAGAGTTTTTATATACTTGTAAGATTAGAAGTACACTACAAATGCACATTCAAAACAAATAAGCGCATTTCTTTTTCACAAGAGTTGCAGACATTGAAATGTTTGCTTAAATGTTTAATGAGTAACATCTTAAATTTTGGTCTTTTCTTTGAACAAAGATAGTGTGTGTCTTCTGATGTCTGTATAGGTTGAATGTAAATTTCTAGTGCTTGTTTTTGTCCTAAACAGTAGGAATCACTGTCAAAATCATTGCAATAAACAGATGAGCTTAGATATTCCACAAAATGCCTGCGTTTGTGTTCAATTGAAGATTTGAGCAGCTCTGTGATCTATAACAGTTCAATTTGGATTATTGAAAATGTTGTGACAGAACTGTTTCCTTTCTCCTTTTTCATTGTCAAATCTTTTCATCTCTGTCCTCAGGGACATTCCAGCTACATTACACATCTTGACTGGTCTCCCGACAACAAGTTCATCATGTCCAACTCAGGAGACTACGAAATCCTTTACTGTAAGTGGACGACCGCAACAAGCCCTCTCTGGCTCGGTTTCTCTGAAAAACATTCATCTCCAATCGTATTTGATTTTTGTCTCATTGGTTTGGTAGACTACATCATAACTGATTCAGCTTGTGGTTTGTGTTTGCACTTTTTTTGGACCAAAAGAACTTAAATGTTGCACCATATCCCAGATTTTCCTGACATGTTGTTTTCCCTCTTCCACAGGGGACATTCCAAACGGTTGCAAGTTGATTCGTAACCGTTCTGAGTGCAAGGACATCGACTGGGCCACATATACCTGTGTGCTAGGATACCACGTCTTTGGTCAGTATCTGTAGAGTGGTGCATTGTGGGTGTTATTGCTAATAGGGGTTCGATACCTTCTTGTATAGTACCCACTGCTGAAATCTCACAGCCTTCTAAGGGTCTGTCACTGAATGACAATGTGAATCAAACATGACTAAAAATTGGCTACAAGAACGCTTGCTTTGTGTATTATGAGTAAGTGTGCTCTGTGTATGCGTGCCTCGTTTGGTTTTTCCAAATGTGTGGCTGGTATTTGAACGCTTTGCTCTATTTCACACTCATTTCCTGTCAGTGGTTTAGTCTTGAGGGGGTCTTAGTCATTCTCTTTCTCGCACACACCAACACACGTTTGCTTGGCAATCTAAATGAGGACATACCAGACTTACTTTAACTAACTTTTTAATCTAACTTTTACCAGACTAATAACTTTAAAAGGATAGTTCACCCAAAAATGAAAATTTGATGTGTATCTGCTTACCCCCAGGGCATCCAAAATGTAAGTGACTTTGTTTCTTCAGTAGAACACAAATGCAGATTTTTAACTCAAACCGTTGCAGTCTGTCAGTCCTATGATGTAAGTGGATGGGAATCACGGCTTTGAGAGTCATAAAACATACACAAACAAAACTAAATTAAACCCTGCGGCTCATGACGATACATTGATGTGTAAAGACACGAAACGATCGATCTGTGCAAGAAACTGAACAGTATTTATAAAGTTTTTTTTACCTCTGATTCACCGCAATGTCCTAACTATCCTGAGCGCGGATCGCAGACTTATAAGTGCATTACCGCCACCTATCTCTCAAATGGACCATTGACACTTTATCTACAATCTCAATTAGGAGTGTCAATGGTTCCATTCACTTCCATTATATGACTGACAGACTGCAACGGTTTGAGTTAAAAATCTTCGTTTGTGTTCTACTGAAGAAA